ATACCTCTAACTGTCAACTACAATTACATACTGACACCATAAAGTTAAAATTCAAGTTTAAGGCTGGGCATGGTGGCTCATGCCTGTAATCTAGCACTTTGGGAGACTGAGGCAGGCAGATCACCTGAGGTCAGGAGGTCAGGAGATCAGGAGTTCAAGACCAGCCTGGCCAACATGCTGAAACCCCTCTCTTCTAAGAATACAAAAATTAGCCAGGCATGGTGACGGATGCCTATAATCCCAGTTAATCAGGAGGCTGAGGCAGGAGAATCTCTTGAACCTGGGAGGTAGAGGGTACTGTGAGCTGAGATTGTACCACTGCATTCCAGCCAGGCAACAGAGGGAGACTCTGTCTCAAAAAATAATTCAAGTGTAATATGTAACACTACAGTGAGTTTCAGTGTTGCAATGATAAAAGGGGCCTTGCTTTTGTTTCTAATTTGTTTCCATCTGAAATCTAAACTCAATCACTTGGCATTTAAGGCCTCTGAAATCTGACTCCAAGTTCTCTTTCCTGTGTTATCCTGCCAGTCCCTGATACTGAAGCCACACCATGTGATTTGCCCTTCTGCAACCGGGCCCCACGCTCTCCACTTTTTCTCCTTTGCCCCCATATTCCTGTTACCTGAAATGTTCTGCCTTCAATCTTTACCCCCTTACTCCTAGTCAAAATCTTTTCTCCCAAGCCTTATGAAAGTTCTGCCTTCTCTCTCTTTTTTTAAGAGCTAGTGTAGAAGTTGGCCTGAGGCACACTTCTCAGCCTGCAGGATGGCCACCTTGCAGGATGTAACCCTTTAAAAGAAATAAGTCGGCCAGGCACGGTGGCTCACACCTGCAGTCCCAGCATTTTGGGAGGCCGAGGTAGGCGATCACCTGAGCTCAGAAGTTCATGTTGGCCAGGTTGGTGACAAACTTCCGAGCTCAGGTGAGGCAGGGTCTCTACTAAATACAAAAAAATTAGCTGGGCATGGTGCACATGCCTGTAATCCCAGCTACTCAGGAGGCTGAGGCAGGGGAGAATTGCTTGAACCTGGGAGGCAGAGATTGCAGTGAGCTGAGATAGCACCACTGTACTCCAGCCTAGGGGACAGAGTAAGACTCCATCTCGAAAGAAAGAGAGAGAGAGAGCAGGAAAGAGGGAGGGAAGGAGGGAGGGAGGGAAGAAAGGAATAAAGAAGTCTCTTCTCCTTTTCTAAATTTGTAGATCTTGTGATTTTTTTGTTTTAAAGTACAGCCCAGGTCAAGAATTAGAACATGAGCACACCCAGAGGCCTCCCACGTTCCTTCACCCAGTCTACGTCTCCTGAAAGGGTGTCACCGTTCTGACTTTTATTCCCTTAGATTCAATACCCTCCTTTTAGAACTTTATAGGATGGAACAATACAATTTGTACTCTTTTGTGTCTGGCTTTTTGGTTAACATTATCTGTTTGTGAGATCCATCCATAGTGTTGTATATAGCAGTAGTTCATTCTTTTTAATTCCTGCAGAGGAATTAAATTGTATGAATATGGTGCACTACAATTGATTTGTCCTTTCAACTTTTGACGAAGATTTTGATTGTTTCTAATGTTTAACTATGAGAAATATGCAGCCAGGCATGGTGGCTCACACCTGTAATCCCAGCACTTTGGGAGGCCAAGCAGGCAGATTGCCTGAGGCCAGGAGTTTGAGACCAGCCTGGCCAACATGGTGAAATCCCATCTCTACTAAAAGTACAAAAATTAGCCAGGTGTGTGTTGGTGGGTACCTGTAATCCCAGCTACTTGGGAGGTTGAGGCAGGAGAATTGCTTGAACCCAGGAAGTGGAAGTTGCAGTGAGCTGGAATCAAGCCACTGCATTCCAACCTGGGTGACAGGGTGAGACCCTATCTCAAAAAAAAAAAAAAGTGCTATTAGAAATATTCCTATATATGTTTCTGTTGTGTATAGGATATAGCATTGGAGGATACATCAAAAGTCTTTAGGATATAACCAGGTCAGTGTACTAGCAAGCCTGTAGTCCCAGCTACTTGAGAGTCTGAGGTGGGAGGATTGCTTGAGCCCAGGAGTTTGAGGTCAGCCTGCCCAATATAGTGAGATCCCATCTCTAAAATTTAAGAAAACAAAAATTTAAAAAGTCTTTAGACTTTTTTAGGTATTTAGATTTTAGACATTCTAAATGTATCCCTAATTTATTTTAAGAAAAAAGTTAAAAAGCGAAAACACTTAGCTCTGCAGATGTTCTTAGTTGCATTTTAAAATAAATGCAAAAATGCAAATTATACTAAAGTCTCAATAACAGGCAGTTACTTAAATAAATTATGACATAAAATATTATGTTAATATTATGTTTAAATTATGGCATGGAGTATATTATTTATTTTATTGTATTTATTGCTAAGGAAAGATTTACATGGCATACTAGTAGATGAGAAAAAAGTCTGGGTATAAGAGAATATATACAGTTGGCCAGGCGTAGTGGCTCATGCCTATAATCCCAACACTTTGGGAGGCTCAGGTGGGTGGATCACAAGGTCAGAAGATTGAGACCAGCCTGGTCAACACGGTGAAATCTTGTCTCTACTAAACACACAAAAAGTTAGCTGGATGTGGTGGCACATGCCTGTAATACCAGCTACTCAGGAGGCTGAGGCAGGAGAATTGCTTGTACCCAGGAGGTGGAGGTTGCAATGAGCCGAGATCACACCACTGCACTCCAGCCTAGGTGCCAGGGCAAGACTCTGTCTCAAAAAAAAAAAAAAAAAGAAAAAAAAAAAGAAAAAGAAAGAGAGAGAGAGAGAGAGAGAGAGAGAGAGAGAGAGAGAGGGAACATATACAGCTTGAGGGCACTTTTATTTAAAAAAAAACTATTTGTATGTAAATGTATATTCAAGCGGGTCACACCAAAAATTTACAGTGATATGTTTGAAAAATGTAATGATGGCTGATTTTTCTTTCAGTTTTACTGTATGTTTCCAGTTTTCTAAACTCTTCCTCATAAGCATGGCTATGGAATTATCCCTGTATTCTTAGTCCATAAGGTATTACTTTGCATAGAGGTTATACACACATGTATAGATTTGACTGTGTGAAAGAATATACATTAATATAAAGCCACCAAGGTAACAACAATTTGATCATATGGGGTCATTCTAAAAGGCAAAGATAATTAGTAATTGCCATGGAAGACATTGGCATATAATTTACCCTGTATTTGCACTTAGAACTCTGCAACCACAGCATGAATTCAGTTGCAGAGTTCTCTGTGTGTGTGGTCCTACATTGACTCAATAAGTGATGCTCAATTCTTTCTCAATGATCTTGTAATCGGCTCTCAGGATATCTGATATCCGAAATGTATAAAGCGCTCTTTCTTTCTTTCTTTCTTTCTTTCTTTCTTTCTTTCTTTCTTTCTTTCTTTCTTTCTTTCTCTTTTTCTCTCTCTCTCTTTCTCTCTTTCTTTCTTTCAGCTGAGCCTCGCTGGCCTAGGCTGGAGTGCAGTGGCCCAATCTCGGCTCACTGCAACCTCTGCCTACCAGATTCAAGTGATTCTCCTGTCTCAGCCTTCCAAATAGCTGGAATTACAGGCACGTGCCACAAGGCCGAGCTAATTTTTGTATTTCCAGTAGAGATGGGATTTCACCATGTTGGTCAGGCTGGTCTCAAACTCCTGACCTCGTGATCTGCCCGCTCCCAAAGTGCTGGGATTACAGGCGTTAAGTCACCGTGCCCGGTAAAGCGCTCACTTTCTATCGGAGACGGTTAAAGTAAAACCGATTCAAGAGCTAAGTCCTAGAGTATGCTTAAAACTTTAGACAGTGATTGTTCTGCATCCACATTCTTAACGCTTTCAGGCATCACAACGCACATTTTAAAAAAAGTTTTGCTTCTCCTAAAATCTCATTCATTGTTTTCTCATCCCTCAGAAAACCAAAACCTCTCAAAACTAGCAACAAAACCCCACAGCAGCTTTTTCTTCCCTGAATGTTCAAAACAACAGGCAGTCACAAATAAGATTTCAGCAGAGCGACCTAGACCCTTCGTCTCTTCCCCTTCAGCTCCCCCTGGCGTCCCCTTCCCTTGCTGTCCTGGTCTGAAATCCTCACCATTTAGAAACCTTCCTTAAGATTTTAGAGAACCTAGATCATCCCCTTAGGGGGTTGCTCAAACACCCAGCGCTTTCTTGCTGGTACGCCCTCCGGGATTTTAGCAGATTTCCTAGCTAGTCCCAGGGGCCGACACAGACAGCATCTTTCTGTAGGGGGGCCTAGGGCTTTGAGAGCAGCGTGGGGCTCAGAGCCAGGAATGGCAGACCTAGCGGGAGAAGGGTTCCAACCACCCTTACTCATCCGTCCCTCCTGGGGAGGAGGCATGAGGTCCCTTTTAGGTGCCTGCGCTTGTCCGAGCTGGTAAAAACCACCCCACACTCCCTGAGGCTCGGAGCGAGGAAGTGACTCTCCAAGGCCTTGGGGCGGGGCGGGCTGTGTGGGTCCTCCTGTGCTTGTCCCTGTCCAGGGCTCCTGCCGTTGTCCCACACTGCTTTTCAGATGTCCTCGTTGTCTCACTGTTCCTGCTTGCACTATGCGTCCTCCGAGTTCCTAAACCAGCCAGCCTAGAGATGCTGGAAGCCTCACCATTGAAGCCGATCACGGCGTCAAGTTCCAGCTCCGCCACTTGAGCCTCCGGCGAAATTTTGTTATCCATCTCTGGGAGGTTCTGCTTATTTTGCTCTCCGACCGGATAAGTGTAGCGTCTCCTGGTCGTTATGGTAACGGGCGAGCGCATGCGCGCCAGTTCCACGCCCGCGCAGTAACCCACCCTGCCGAGTTTGAGTTCATTAGCATTCTTGGAAATAAGGGGTATTGGGGCTGGGAGGAGGGATGGGGTTGAGATGATTCTTCTTCTTTTCTGTGTGTGCTATTTCTCTGGAAATTTAGGGGATGGCACTGACTGCACAGAACTAATTCCTCCATCCCCTCGTGCAAAGAGTCTGTGACTTCCTGGTAACTCTAAAATCAAGCACCAAATGAATGGCATTTAAAAAATAAGTAATCAAGCGTAAAGGACTGATGGGATGGCTGCTATAAAATAATATGTAATTGATACTTCTTTGGGCCCCTGTTTGAAGCTGCGTGAAAAAAATGTTAAAGATTTTTTAAAAAGCGTTATTGAGGTATAATGTACAGATCAGAAAGTTAAGGTAGGTTGTAATAAGTTTATATAGGGTGCAAGTCTCACCGCAATCTAGTTTTTTGTTTGTTGTTTTGTTTTGGAAGCAGGATGAATTTTTAAGTAACTGTTAAGAGAGAGAGGTCTTACAGCGCTCCCACCTTCCTGGGAAAATGCTTAGTTTCTGTTCACAATTTTAACTGAGCTCAGCAGTTCGCATCTCTTGGTGTGATTAGATTGCTCCAACCTGCTGTCCCCAGGGAAGCACTTCCCTTTCTCTGATCGTGGTTCTAAGGCCCTAGTTATTCACTTGGCAAACTCCGGGCTCCGGTCGCGTACGGGACGAACTGCGGGGAGTGAGCCGCGCGGGCCGCCGTAGTCAGCTGCTAAGAGCAGGAAGAATCCGAGCGGCGGGCGGAGTCTGCATTATGGCACCGGACCCCTGGTGAGCCCCGGGTGAAGGCGGCGGTGCGCTGAGGGACCTTCGGGGAGGCCGGGCTTCCGGGGAGCAGGCGATCACTTCGCGCGCCCGTTGGAGGGATTTCGGGTGAAGGGAGAGGCAACGAGACCCTTCCTCTACTGAGGGGGCTCAGCCACTTCCCGCCACCCTTGGTCCTTGCCAGGGTGGCCCGGGAAGGAGAACGGGTGGTCCGCTGGAGAGCTGAGGACTTGAGCCAAATCTCTAAATATTCCTCTAGCTTTTCTGGGCTGCATCTCGCCGCGGGGATTTCCCGCCCATCTTGGTTGTGGAGCTGGCCGGTTCAGGCTTCCCTGGACTCCTATAAAAGTGAAGTCAAAATAACCTTTTTGTAGCGTGCCCGTCCATCCGGTGAACCCCCTTATTTCGCAGGTGGAGAAACCGAGGTTCGGAGTCCATGGTCACCAGCCAATTAGTAACCAGTTGGGACTAAGACCTAGATCTTGGGGGCCCTTCCAGATACTTACAGGAATCTGGGAGGGAAATCGTGCACTTGTTTATAAGGCATTTTACACTTTCTTGAGTTAATACCCTGAAGAATTTTCTTTTAGCAGTAGCGTCTGCAGTAAAATAGTAGGTGATAGGGTCATTTATTTAGCAATTAATCGCAAGGACTGCATGATGAAAGATGCAAGTTTTGATCCCAAGGAACATCCCGTTATAGCATAATAGACTTGACCTTTCTGCTTAATAATTAAAAACATATTACAGCTCCATAACGCTCTTGTTGGAATATATGTCTTATATTGTTATTTCTAATATAGTTGATAATTTAAGTTGCCGACAGCCTCGGTATTAGAAGAATGGATTCCAAGAACAAAGCTGAGTTACCTGGAATCTAGGTTATTTGGGCCATTTATTTAACATTGATTTTTTGAACCTAATTTTAACAGTTATATACACCACTTGATAGAGAGTATTCAATTTACAGAATATTGAAAATTTGCAAAGAGGAAAATAAATAGCATCTTTAACTCTATAATTTGGAAATAGCCATTATTGATTTTTTTTTTTTTTTAAAGTAGAGAAGGGGTTTCACCATGTTAGCCAGGATGGTCTTGATCTCCTGACCTTCTGATCCAACCGTCTTGGCCTCCCAAAGTGCTGGGATTACAGGCATGAGCCACCGTGCCCAGCCATATCCTTTTTTATTTTATTTTATTATTTTTTGAGACGAAGTCTTGCTGTCACCCAGACTGGAGTGCAGTGGCACAGTCTTGCCTCACTGCAACCTCTGCCTCTCAGGTTCAAGCGTTTCTCCTATCCCAACTTCCCGAGTAGCTGGGACTACAGGTGTGAACTACCATGTTGTCTAATTTTTGCATTTTTAGTAGAGACAGGTTTCAAAATGTTGGCCTGGCTGTTCTCAAACTCCTGACCTCGTGATCCACCCAACTCAGCCTCTCTTAGTGCTGGGATTACAGGCGTGAGCCACAACACCTGGCCCATTACTGATTTTTTTTAAACAATGAACTTGTTACTTTAATTTGTATTATATGTGTGTGTGTGTATATTTGTATATATATATATATATATATATATATATATATATAAAATACAACAGCATTTCTCTATGTAATTGAACATTCTTTGAAAACATAATTTTTTTTTTTTGAGACAGAGTTTTGCTCATGTTACCCAGGCTGGAGTGCAATGGCGCGATCTCGGCTCACCGCAACCTCTGCCTCCTGGGTTCAGGCAATTCTCCTGCCTCAGCCTCCTGAGTAGCTGGGATTACAGGCACGCACCACCATGCCCGGCTAATTTTTTGTACTTTTAGTAGAGATGGGGTTTCACCATGTTGACCAGGATGGTCTTGATCTCTTGACCTCGTGATCCACCCGCCTCGGCCTCCCAAAGTGCTGGGATTACAGGTGTAAGCTACCGCGCCCGGCGAAAACATAATTTTTTTATGTTGTATAATAGTGCATCACATGAATGACCATTATTTATTTTTCTCCTAGTATTAGTTTTGTTTTTTTGATGTTTTGTTTTTTTTTTTTCATCTCAAAGGCAGTCCCTTTGTTCCATCTCTTATTTCCTTGGGCTCCTTGCCTCGAAGAAGGAATTAGAACTGTTGAAAGTGAAAGCATTTATCCTTTTTTTGTTATTCTCAATTAGTTTGACTAACTGGATTTCTCATTACACCGTTGAAAGTGAAATAGAACTATTGGGTTCAAGGGTATGAACTTTTTTTGAGAGAAAAAAATTCTGTTGCCAAGAGTTTTGCTCTTGTTGCCCAGGCTGAAGTGCAATGGCGTGATCTCTGCTCCCTGCAACCTCCACCTCCCAGGTTGAGGCGATTCTTGCTTCAGCTTCCCAAGTAGCTGCGATTACAGGTGCTCACCACCAAACCCAGCTAATATTTATATTTTTAGTAGAGACGGGGTTTCACCATGTTGGCCAGGCTGATCTCAAACTCCTGACCTCAGGTGATGCACCCACCTTGGCCTCCTAAAGTGCTGGGATTACAGGTGTGAACCACTGCACCTGGGGGTTATGAACATTTTTAAGACCCTTGCAAAGTATCTGAGACAGGTCTCAATCAATTTAGAAAGTTTATTTTGTCAAGGTTAAGGATGCACTGGAGACACAACCTCAGGAGGTCCTGAAGACATGTGCCCAAGGTGGTTGGGGCTTGCTTTTATACAATTTAGGGAGAATAATACATGAATTAATACATGTAAGATTTATGATGGCTCGATCCAGAAGGGCAGGATACCTCAAAGGGGGTTAGGGGGCTTCCAGGTCGTAAGTAGATTTAAAAATGTTCTGATTGGCAATTGGTTGAGTTATTACTAATAGAAAGGAATGTCTGGGTTATCAGAAGGGGTTGTGGAGACCAAGGTTTTATTATGCAAATGAAGCCTCTGGGTAGCAGGCTTTAGGGAGAATAGATTGTAAATGTTTCTTATCAGACTTAAGGTCTGTATTGACCTAGAGCTGTCCCCCAGGCGTCTCTGAGGCCAGTTTCTTCACCTTGCCTCAGTGTTACCTGATTCTAAATAGCTCCTCATCACTCTCTGTCCCTTTGTCCTGCTGCATTTTTCTTCTTAGCACCTGTCAACACCTGTCATAGTATTTGTTTTATGAGTTTCTTTCCCCAAAATATGAGCTCGGTGAAAGCAGGGACTGTGTTCATTCTGTTCACTGCTCTCTTCTCCACTGCCCAGTACAGCAGAGGCCCCCAAATGCTTTATCATTGGCAGAATGACAGTTGTTAAGAGCCCCAGCTCTGGGGTCAGACAGCCTTGGTTTGCAGCGGGTAGTACCACTTGGGCAAGTCACTCTGCCTCTGTGCCTCATTTTCTCCTGTATGAGATGGAGATAGTAATGGCACCCACTTCGTAGTGTTCCTGTTTAGGTTAAGTGAGTTATTACTAATGAAGCCTTCAGAATAGTGCCTGGCACATAGTAAATACCACTCAGTCCATGTTGCTTTTACTGGTAATGCTATTGTTCTCCCCTTTTGTTTGTAGACAATGCAAAAATTTCTTTTAAAGAATCTTAAATAGACCAGCCTGACCAATATGGTGAAACCACGTCTCTACTAAAAATACAAAAATTAGCCAGGCATGGTGGCTCATGCCTGCAGTCCCAGCTACTCAAGAAGTTGAGGCAGGAGAATCACTTGAACCCAGGAGATGGAGGTTGCAGTGAGCCAAGATTGCGCCACTGCACTCCAGCCTGGGCCACAGAGCCACACTCCTTATGAAAACAAAAAGAAAAACAAAAAAATAACCTTAAACATTTTCTCTTTTTGTGACTTTGGTGCAGGTTCTCCACATATGATTCTACTTGTCAAATTGCCCAAGAAATTGCTGAGAAAATTCAACAACGGAATCAGTATGAAAGAAAAGGTGAAAAGACACCAAAGGTAATGCCAGGAGGGAATTAGTAAACAATGATTTGTTTGAGTTTTGAGATCTGAAAACTCAAACAACCCTCCTATCTTTCTTTGAGGCTCTCCGTGCACATGTGTGTATAATGATCTATCTGCTTACATGTGTTGAATGGACATAACAGCCAACCAGTTAATAGTTATGTAATCATTGAGACTAAATGAAACATAACATATTTAAGTTCTCCTGTTTTACCGTAAACATTTCTTTTTTTTTTTTTGAGACTTGCACTGTTGCCCAGGCTGGAGTGCAATGGTGCAATCTCAGCTCACTGCAACCTCTGCCTCCTAGGTTCAAGCGATTCTCCTGCCTCAGCCTCTCAAATAGCTGGGATTACAGGTGCCTGCCACCACACCTGGCTAATTTTTTGTATTTTTAGTAGAGATGAGGTTTCACTATTTTGGTCAGCCTGGTCTTGAATTCCTGACTTCAGGTGATCTGCCTGCCTCGGCCTCCTGAAGTGCTGGGATTACAGGTGTGGGCCACTGCGTCCGGCCAAACATTTCTATTTTATAGTCTAGTTCAAGGGTTAGTAAACTTCCTCTACATAATCAATCTTTTAGTCTTTGCAGGCCAAGAGACAATGTCTTCAAGTCTTTGAGTTTCTATTATCACCACAAGGAAAGTTATAAGTTTACATTTTACATTAAAAATGTAAAAACAGATGGGGTGTGGTGGCTCACTCCTGTAATCCCAACACTTTGGGAAACTGAGGTGGGTAGATCACTTGAGGTCAGGAATTCGAGACGAGCCTGGACAACATGGTGAAACCCTGTCTCTACTAAAAATACAAAACTTAGCTTTTTTTACAGGGTGCCCTTTTTTTACAGGGCGTGGTGGCACACACCTATAATCCCAGCTACTCAGGAGGCTGAGGCATGAGAATCACTTGAACCCAGAAGATGGAGGCTGCAGTGAGCTGAGGTCACACCACAGAACTCCAGCCTGGGCAACAGAGCAACACCCTGTCTCAAAAAAAAAAAAAAAATGTAAAAACCATCTTTAGTTATGGGCTATATAAAAACAGTGGTGGGATTTGGCTAGGAAATAGATTTTTGTGAAATCACAAGTTTATACTTGTGATTATGATTAAAAATATAAGCCTCTGATTCAAATCTAACACCACACCTTTCTTCCTTATTTTCCCCATTCCCAGTTTATATTTTCTTTCTCTCACAGTGAGAATCTTAGTTTCCAAAAGCATCAGTATGTTTTTACTTGTTTGGTCTATTTTACAGTTTACAGAAAATAGTTTCAGAATTAGTATAAAGTACCACGACAAACACCAAGTTCAAAATTTGAATTTGTTAACGTTTAGACAAGTCTAAGATTACTGAGGTTATTATGTTCCAAATTTATTAGAATTATTTTTTTAAGAGTTTAACTTTCAAGTTCAGGAGTATATATGTGGGTTTGTCATATATAGTTAATTGAGGGTTTTTAACATGAAGCGGTGATGAATTTTATCGAAAGCCTTTTCTGCATCTATCGAGATAATCATGTAGCTTTTGTCTTGTTTCTGTTTATGTCGTGAATCACATGTTTTGATTTGCATATGTTGAACCAACCTTGCATCCCAGGGATAAGGCCTACTTGATTGTGGCAGATAAGCTTTTTGATCTGCTGCTGGATTCGGTTTGCCAGTATTTTGTTGAGGATTTTTGCAATAATTGATTCTTGTTTTCTGTCTTATGTTATCCTTTGTTTCTCTTTTTATTCACTTACAGGAGTTGCTTTTTCCAGCTTTTTTGATTTAATTTTAAATAAGTAAAACATTTACATTGTTCAGAAGTCAAAATTATATAAAAGTGACACTCCAAGTCTTGTTCTCATTCCTCTCTTTTCTACCTCTTCTAAACCTACTTCTTCTGAGTAACCATTTTCATTAATTTCTGGTTTGTTCTTCCTGTGTTCACTTTTTGCAGAAATAAGCCTCTCTGCGTGTATATGTATGTCAGTATGTGTGTGTCTGTGTGTATGTTCTTTTTATATAAAGGATACTCTTTTGGGCTGGGTGTGGAGGCTCATGCCTGTAATCCCAGCACTTTGGGAGGCTGAGGCAGGAGGATCACCTGAGGTCAGGAGTTCGAGACCAGCCTGGCCAACATAGTGAAACCCCGTCTGTAATAAAAACACAAACAACTAGCTGGGCGTGGTGGTGGACACCTGTAATCCCAGCTACTCAGGGGGCTGAGGCAGCAGAATCATTTGAACCCAGGAGGCAGAGTTTTGCAGTGAGCTGAAGTTGTGCCATTGCACTCCAGCTTGGTCAGTGTCTCTCTCTCTCTCTCTCTCCACACGTGCGTGCGCGCACACACACACACACACACACACATCGATATATATGATATATATGTATTTATATACATATATTTGAGACACACTCTTTTGTATCTTGATCTTTTCCACTTAATATATTACAGAAATCTTTCCATTTTATTTCATATTCCTTGTTCTTCTTCTTCTTTTTTTTTTTTGAGACGGAGTTTCATTGTTGTTACCCAGACTGGAGTGCAATGGCACCATCTCGGCTCATCGCAACCTCTGCCCTCTGGGTTCAGGCAATTCTCCCACCTCAGCCTCCCGAGTAGCTGGGACTACAGGCGCGCGCCACCACGCCCAGCTAATTTTTGTATTTTTAGTAGAGACGGGGTTTCACCCCGTTGACCAGGATGGTCTCGATCTCCTGACCTCGTGATCCACCCACCTCGGCCTCCCAAAGTGCTGGGATTATAGGCGTGAGCCACCGTGCCCGGCCCCTTGTTCTTCTTTAGGGTAGACATAACATTCTTCATTTAACCTGTCTCCCAAGGAAGGGCAATTAGATTGCTTCCAGTCTTGTGCTGTTGTGATTAATGCTGCAGTAAATAAACTTGCCCTTTAAAAAAATTATGTGTGTAGATGTCTTTTAAAGGTGAGTTCCCAAACCAGGGCATCTGTAATTATGTTTTTTATTTTTTATTTTATTTTATTTTTTTGAGACGGAGTTTCGCTCTTGTTACCCAGGCTGGAGTGCAGTGGCATCTCGGCTGACTGCGACCTCCGCCTCCTGGGTTCAGGCAATTCTCCTGCCTCAGCCTCCAGAGTAGCTGGGATTACAGGCGCACGCCACCATGCCCAGCTAATTTTTTTTTTGTATTTTTAGAAGAGACCGGGTTTCACCATGTTGACCAGGATGGTCTCGATCTGTTGACCTCGTGATCCACCCACCTCGGCCTCCCAAAGTGCTGGGATTACAGGCTTGAGCAACCGCGTCTGGCCAATTTTTTAAAACCTGTTGTGAAATCCCCCTTCAAAGGGGTTGTCACCTTTGGCACCCCACCAGCAATGTGTGAGCGCTTCCCAGCCTGGCCAACAGAGGGTGCTGTGAATCTTCTGAATTTTTGTTAATCTCCTAAGTGAGAAATGGTATTTCAGTGTCATTTTAAATGTGTATTTCTCATATAATGAGTCAAGTGGAGTATGCTTTCATATGCTTAAAGACCATTTATATATATATTTTCTGTGAACCATCTTTTGCCCATTTTCTACTGGATTATTAGCCTTTTAGTCTTGATCTTTTAAGAGCTCCTCACATATTACGGAGATGAGCTCCTCGTGATAAATTACGGTTATTTCTTTTCCTTTATCATTTGACATTTGACTTTGCTGGTGGTAGTTTTCTCATGTGAAAGTTTTGTGAGTGTGTTTTTTTTTTTTTTTTTAACGAAATTGGCTGTCAATCTTTAATTGCTTCTGTATATTTAGTCATATCTAAGTTTTTGCTATTTCCAGGTTATAAAAAATTTATTCCTGCTTTCTTCTAGTAAATATATGGTTTCATCTTTCACATGAAGGGCTTTTATCTATTTAACTGGTGTCATTTTCTTTGATAGTTAGATTCTTTCTAATTATAAATGATTTTCAAGTCTAGCCAAATTCTTGCCCATGTTAAAATAAATTCTTCAATGTAGACTTTCTGGATTTGGGTTGTATAACATTTTAAGCCTTTTGAACACGTATATTACAGAATTACATTTTTACAATTTCTACACCAATTTTGATTATCTTTTTAAAAATCTCTATTAGGTAAAAATACTATATTACAGTAGTTTAATATGCATTTTTTATTATGTCTGGAACATCTTTTCTTTCTTCTTTTTTTTTTTTTTCTGTAGAGATGGAATTTCACTCTTGTTGCCCAGGCTGGAGTGCAGTGGCACAATCTAGGCTCATGCAACCTCTGAGCCTCCCAGGTTCAAGTGTTTCCCCTGCCTCAGCCTCCCAAGTAGCTGGGATTACTGGCACCCGCCACCATGCCTGGTTAATTTTCGTATTTTTATTAGAGACAGGGTTCACCATGTTGGCCAGGCTGGTCTGGAATTCCTGACATTAGGTGATCCACCTGCCTCAGCCTTCCAAAGTGCTGGGATTACAGGCATGAGCCAACGTGCCTAGCTATCTTGAACATCTTTTCATATATTTATTGAGTATTTGTGTTTCTTTCTTTATGAATTGCCTGTATAATGTCCTTAACCTAATCTTTTTGTTTCTTAATTCCTTTTTCTTTCTTTCTTTTCTTTTTTTTTTTTTTTTTGAGACAGAGTCTTATCTGTCACCCAGGCTAGAGAGCAGTGGCTTGATCTTGGCTCACTGCGACCTCCACCTTCCAGGTTCGAGTGATTCTGGTGCCTCAGCCTCCTAAGTAGCTACGATTATGGCCATATGCCTCCATGCCTGGCTAATGTTTGTATTTTTAGTAGTGACGGGATTTTGCCATGTCAGCCAGGCTGGTGTCAAACTCCTGGCCTCAAGAGATCCTCCTGCCTCAGCCTCCCAAAGTGCTGGGATTACAAGCATGACCCACTGTGCCCGGCCTTGTTTCTTAATTTAAAAGTTTTCTTTATATATATGTTAACTATATTAAGCTTTGATCTGGCATGTTTAGTGTACATATTTTCTCTATTAACTTGATTTTGTGACATTTTAAAACTTGTATTCGTTTTTAAATTTGATTTGAAATTATCAGCATTTTTATTGGTGATCTTTTCTAACGGGAGGAGAAGATACCATGCTCAGAAAGGCCTTTTACATGCAGAGGTTATATAAATACTTAATTATCTAAATTTTCCTTAACCTTTTTTCCTGTTACTTTCTTTTGTTTGTGCATGTAAATCTTTGACATATCTGGTGTTTACTTTGGTGTGCTGTAGGTATCTAATTTTATTTTTTCCCCATTTGCTAAATTATTAATTTCCTTCTCTCATATGAAATAGTTCATATTTCATTCACTGGATTTTTAATACAGCCACATTGTTTCTGGGCTGTCTGTTCTCTTGCACTATTGAAGCTGTTGGTAATTGCCAGCTTCAACTCTTGTAGTTTTTATAATCACTTTATATCTGATTAAGGCCCATGTGAATATTATACATATTCATAGCCTTTATTTGCCTTCATTTATCCTTCTGTCAGAGTAATTTTGTAAAACTTCATTTAAAAAAAGAAAAAAACCAAACTGCTGTGCCTTAATTTCCACCTCTTCTGCAATAAAAGAATTCCAAATGGGATTTCAAATAGACATGTATGTTTATAGATTAAATTGGGGAAAACTTTATATATTTTTGAGAAGTGAAACTCCTTCTCAAAAGAAAAATTTATATATATATAATTTATTTTGTGTGTGTGTGTGAGAAGGAGTTTCACTGTGTCACCCAGGCTGGAGTGCAATGGCGTGGTCTCAGCTCATTGCAACCTCTGCCTCTCAGGTTGGAGCGATTCTCCTGCCTCAGCCTTCTGAGTAGCTGGGACTACAGGCAGGTCACACCACACCTGGCTAATTTTTCTATTTTTAGTAGAGATGGGGTTTCACTATGTTGGCTAGGCTGGTCTCAAACTCCTGACCTCGTGATCCACCTACCTCAGCCTCCCAAAGTGCTGGGATTACAGGCCTAAGCCATCTTACCCAGCGAAAACGTGTGTGTGTGTGTGTGTGTGTGTGTATTTTTTTTTTTTTTAGATGAAGTCTTGCTCTGTCACCAGGCTGGAGTGCAGTGGCACAATCTCGGCTCCCTGCAACCTCTGCCTCCTAGTTTCAAGCGATTCTTCCACCTCAGCTTCCTGAATAGCTGGGACCACAGGTGCGTGCCACCACGCCTGGCTAATTTTTTTGTATTTTTAGTAGAGACGGGGTTTCACCATGTTGGCCAGGATGTCCTTGCTCTCTTGACCTCGTGATCTTCCTGCCTTGGCCTCCCAAAGTGCTGGGATTACAGGCGTGAGCCACTGCGCCTGGCGAAAACTTACATTTTTACTATATTGAGTGTTTCCTTTTGTTTCTTCAGTCGTATTTACTGCACATTTTCTATGTGCCAGGCACTGTGCTGTATTTTTTAGATTTTGTTGATATTGTTAGTGAAGTTTCAAAATAATAATGTAAAAACTCTCCCTAGGCATTACTTAAATTTAGGAATATCCTTGATTCTTTTTCACTTTATGACTAATCACCATACTGAATTCTTCTGCTGTTTTTGTTTTGTTTTTAATTTTTTTCTTTTTACTATTTTTCTTCTACTGTTTTTAATAATCTTTCAGTCTGGGCACGGTGGCTCATGCCTGTAATCCCAGCACTTTGGGAGGCCAAGATGGGTGGATCACCTGAGGTCAGGAGTTTGAGACCAGCCTGATCCATATGGTGAAACTCCATCTCTACTAAAAATACAAAAATTAGCTGGGCGTGGTGGTGGGTGCCTGTAGTCCCAGCTATTTGGGAGGCTGAGGCAGGAGAATCACTTGAACCTGAGAGGTTCAACCTGAGAGGTTGCAGTGAGCTGAGATCATGCCATTGCACTCCAGCCTGGGGAACAGAGCAAGAGTCTGTCTCAAAATAATAATAATAATAATAAATATAAAATAATAAATAATAATCTTTCAGTTGATTCTCAACTTTTCTAAGTAGACTATTAGTCTGCAAATAATCTCATCTTTTGCTTGTATATTTCTTTAATTTTTTCTTATTCTGTCAGTTGGAACTTCTTGAGGAAAGTTAAATAATATTGCAATTAAGGCAGTAGTGTTCTATTTTTAGTTTTTCTTTTTTTGTGTTTCTTTTTTAAAATTTCCCTTATACTGGACTAATCATATGTCTATTCTGTTTTTAATCATTAACACCGTGAGCTTTATTATTAGATTTTTCTAACATTAAAGTGTTCTTAAATTACTGGAATAGTTGCTACTTGTTGATGGTATATGGTCCTAATGTAATTCTGAATTTGCTTTGCTAATGTTTTTGAAAAGATTTTTACATTTATAATTCTTAAGTGAGATTGACACGTGGTTATATCTGTCAGTGCTTGTTACCAAGGTTATGTTAGCTTAAAACATGAATTAGGCTTCCTGTCTTTTTTTTGTGCTCTAGAAAGTGCCTGTTTAATTAAGATAATGGCACTTTTTTCCTGATTATAAAAGTAATCATTTTCTTATAAAATGTTAGAATGTCCCACTACTTAGATAGAACTGTGGTGTTTTGATGTGTCTGTATTTGGTTCCTGGGTTGTTTTTTCTCTGTTTGGGTGATATTTTATGGCTTGATTTTTCCTTTTAATAAGTTGTGATGGATATCTTCCTGTGTGAACAAATTGAGATGTGAGCCATAATTTGTAATGGCTGCGTACGCAGTCTTTCATCTCCTGAATGCGTTGATTTGCGGACTCCTCTTCGTGGGCCTGGTGCGTGGGGCACTTTTTTGTTTGCTTGTTTTGCTCTTTTGTCTTTGAACGTAGAGAGATCTGCCTGCCTTGGTGTTTCCCCACAAGCATTGTAAGTGGTCCTTCTTTGGTTCCCAGGGGTATGGGAGTAGTTCAGGTTAGACTTTTCTTGGCTGCAGGTGCCTCGGAGGGTTGCTGGATGTGTGCAGCCCTGGGCCAGCCTCTGGTGCCCTGGCTGCTTTTCCTTGGTGTGATTTTGCAGATCCAAGGAGGGAGCCCACTTGAGTTGTTTAATTGCTGCTTTTGACAAAGTAGCAAGGAAAACCTGCAGCATTCTGTCTTTTTGACTTATCTCTGATTTCTTCTATGGTTGAATATGTCTTAACCTACGCAGGTGGTTTTTTCACCTTTCCAATCATCTCCATCCTTTAACATAACAGGTTAGAGTCACAGACAAAAATGTCCTCTAGGATTCTAGGATGACTGGAGAAAATTCACATATTCCTAGAAAAAGAGTCATGTGTGGTTAACATTCCTCTTGTATAAAAAGAACACATTGCTATAAAACGTTTCATTGGGTTGTAAATTTTACCAGTTGTTTAGAGAGACCGGTGGGGATGGTAATGGGACTCCACGCTTTGTCAGTGAAGCCCGGTTGGGAGAACTGAGGGTTTTTGCTGTTGAATGAAGACTTGGGGAACACGATTTCCTGCATGGCTCCAAGGCAGATAAATAGGATCAATGGGCAGACTCTCAGGCAACAGGATTCAGCTGATTGTGAGGGCGCACTGACAATTTCCAGTCAGCATCAGTTCCAGTCTGGCTTGGCACACCACTTGGCCAGGTTGTGGAGCTGGTAAACACGCTGTAGGTGGGCAACTGGGCCAGGACACCACTCAGTCTCCTTCCAGCCCTGAGTTTGTCGTGAGGGGCTGAGTATCTCTTCCAGCACTTGCTTGGTTGAATCAGAGCCTGTGAAGTGGTGTTGACGTGATGTAATTTCGTGGATTCTATACCTCTGGACTGGAATACTTAGGATGTATTCTTTTCTTTTCAGCTTACCGTGACAATCAGAGCTTTGTTGCAGAACCTGAAGGAAAAGATCGCCCTTTTGAAGGACTTATTGCTAAGAGCTGTGTCAACACATCAGATGTATCCATGTAAACATTTCCACCTCTTTTCTAGAGTGGGAGGAAAAGCAATCTTATTTTAAGAAAGGAAGGAATCTGGGCCACCCAGATTTTTCCACAGCTTGAGGAAGACCTGGTTTCCAAAATATTGCCTGTAAACTTGATTTCTATTTTAAGTGTCTGTTACATGTTTTACAGTGAATATGCTGGCAAAGCAAGACCCACCGAAGGAACTGACTTATTTGGGTGTAACCTGTGCAGTTCAGGAGGCTAATGCTTTCCGTCAGTGCTGTATTTACAGAGCCCCGCACTGCTCCCTGTCTAGACTGCTTTGACCATGGCTAGCTACTGCTCCGACAGGAAAACTTCCATGATCATCCTAAGCTGTGATTCCACTTCTGGGAGTTTCCAGAGTTTTTAATGATCCATTTCTTTTCGGAGTGGCCAATACCAGCAAAAATCATACATCTCTCCCCTCCCCACCCACCCCCATGTTTACATAGATGATTGAGATGTGACTTGTTTGCCTTGTTTTCCCTCCAGAGGCACAGACACTGCCTCTAGTATGGGAGTTTGAGGGGAAGGGGTGGGGTGGGACTTCCTTGACGCAAGTGATGCCATCATCTTAACCTCCTACCAAGTGTTAAACTATATATGTATGTATTTTTTAGGTATTTGTAATCTGGGCTAGGTGTGGTTGCTCATGCCTGTAATTCCAGCACTTTAGGAGGCCAAGGCGGGTGGATCACTTGAGGCCAGGAGTTCACGACCAGCCTGGCCAACATGGTGAAACCCCGTCTCTACTGAAAATATAAAAATAAGCCAGGCATGGTGGTACACACCTGTGGTCCCAGCTACTTGGGAAGTTGAGGCAGGAGAATCACTTGAACCTGGGAGGCGAAGGTTGCAGTGAGCTGAGATCACACCACTGCACTCCAGCCTGTGTAACAGAGTAAGACCCTGTGTTAAAGAAAAAAAAAAAGAAAGAAAAGAAATTAATAATCTGATCAATTTAGGAAAACATATGTGACTTATTCCCTACACTAACCCTTTACACCTGAGTTCATATTGGTTTGAAAACCTACTTCAAATTGGTCTTCTCCCATCCTTTCTCTAGATTGTCAATAGTTCATGCCAAAGACCCAGTTTTTGGTATTTCAGGGAATGGATACTGCCAGATTTTAAATATGGGGAAATATAGGAATACAGCTTCTTAGATAAAACAATGGAAAGTGTTCTAAAAAATATTTTCCCCCATTTAACCCCTTTATGTCACCAGGAAAGTTGGTTTAGTTGCACGATTTTCTAGATATTCAATTATTAATCCACTAAGCTTTCAAATAAAAATTTAATTTCAAATTTGGGGCCTTCTTTTTAGCACAGTTGGAATATTCTGAGACACTTTACCTTCCATCTGGTATGATTTGTTACAGCACAGTTGATCTATCATATAAAGGGTTTTTCTTTTACCCAAATCAACAAGTTCTAATATACAGACCTCACCGGGCCTCTGTGCCTGGCTAATTTTTGTAGTTTTAGTAGTTGATGGGCAGGAATATTTCCTCTGCTTTCAGTAGTAAGCACTGGGAAGTCTACACACGGGGTCAAGGTGTGTAAATTCATGTTAGTGTTACCTAAAGCACATATATTAGAAAGATAACTACATATTGTTTCCTGATTTAATGTAACTATACATTTGTTTCCATTAGGGTAGCATTATTAGTCACCTTAATTATGTGCTAAACCTATAGGGCAAGAAAAAGCTACAAATTAAGAGCTTTTGCTTTTTTTCTATTAATAATAATTTCTGCTAGTTATTACAGAGTACAGAGTAAGCATACCACAGTTATAATTGACTGTTTTCTCCTAAATGCTTACAGTCTGACCATCTGTTGAAATCTCACAGATTTTTGGTCTTATGGTGATCTCAGAATTATTTCCCAAATTATTGAATTAAGTAGTAAGCATCAGAAACACTGAACAAGTGTTATTTACAACATTACAAAAATATTTAGGGCCTTATGTGGGTAATGTAGAATTTACTAGGAGATATCAAAAATTCAACTGGAACACAACAACTTTCTTTAAAATTCTATTTATTTTTTCAAATAATTGATCTATTTCTACTGTAACAACTGCAACTAGTAATAGGGATGGCATTTAGCTAATCTACCTCATGGGGGCACTCATAAACCTATGTATTTTCAGGGAGGCCACTTTTTTTTTTTTTTTATACAGTCTTGCTCTGTCGCCCATGCTGGAGTGCAGTGGTGTGATTTTGGCTCACTGCAACCTTTGCCTCCCAGGTTCAAGCAATTTTCCTGCCTCAACCACCTGAGTAGCTGGGATTACAGGCATGTGCCACTGGGCCCTGCTAATTTTTGTATTTTTAGTAGAGACGGGGTTTCACCATGTTGGCCAGCCTGGTCTCAAACTCCTGTCCCTTAGATGATCAGTCCACTTTGGCCTCCCAAGGCGCTGGGATTATAGGCGTGAGCCACTGCGCCCGCACACGGAGGCCACTTTTAATATAAGGGAAAGGAGTTAGCTTATATATTATGAAGGCCTCTTTTTAATTCTACTTCTGTTCCTCCCATCTTCCGTTCCCCTAATATACTTCCCCTTCCCAAACATTTAACATATCCTCCAGATTTAAGATAGATAGCAATCTGTGAGTCCTAATAATCTCATATTATTAGATTTTTTTGTTTTTCGGTGTTTCCTTCTCTTTTTACAAAAAAGATACCGAGGCCAAGTCAAACTTTGCACTGCAAGTCACTGATGAATTTGGTTCCAAGAGGTAACCAAGCATTCCAGCAGAGGAGTTTTGTTTTTTTTTTTTTTGAGACAGAGTCTCACTCTGTCACCCAGGCTGGAGTGCACTGGCGCTATCTCAGCTCACTGCAACCTCTGCTTCTCAAGTTCAAACGATTCTGCTGCCTCAGCCTCCCCAGTAACTGGGATTACAGGCATGTGCCACCCGACTAATTTTTGTATTCTTGGCAGAGGCAGGGTTTCACCATGTTGTCCAGACTGGTCTTGAACTCCGGACCTCATGATCTGCCCACCTTGGCCTCCCAAAGTGCTGGGATTACAGGGGTGAGCCACCTATAATCCTGGCCCTGGCAGAGGAGTTTTTTAAACTGAGGAGAGGATTCTTGGAGAGCTTTAGTCATTACCCAGGACCCCACAACTAGGAAATGGAAGAACCAGGTTCAAACACAGGGCTGTGTGGCCCCCAATGTGAGTTGTTTAAAAGCTGAATTATACTTTGGTAGAAATAATACAGTCAGCTGTCACCTGGCATGTCTTCAAGTAGAATTCTCTGTTAATTGTTGTGTTGCTGGACTGCCAAGACAAATCTTGTTTGTAATACAAATCTTCAAGAACCTTCTTAACCGTCAGAAGATTAAACAGTGTTCATTGTGGTTTATTAGGTATACTTTATGATGTCGAGAAAAATGTTTGTTCATAAATCACCAATGAAGTGACTTTTTAATCCTTTTTTTGAGGCATAATTAATGTTTGGTGACTTTTTTAATGTGAATATTTGAATACCATATTTCTTTACTGCACTGGGTAGTTGAGAGTTTATGATACTTAATAAATTTATGCCTTTCTACATTTGTGAACTTGTCCAAAGAACACGAGGAGTTGCCAGAAAGATAAGTCCTATGAAAATGCTTTCTAAACAATTAAATTCATGGAATTAAGGCATGACATGTTATGCTCTCTCCTGAAAAAGTATTTTTTCTCCTGGCAAGAATAAAAGTCAAGTTAAAATGAAAGTTCTGCGCTTTTGAATCCTTTAGTATGCAATTAATAAACTTAAGTCTTGCAGTCAGAGAGTTTAAATTGCTGAAAGACATTAACATCTGTTCACAGTGCTTCTTTGAAATAGGAACTGTAATTGCCTCACCAGCCGAGAAAAGATGTATGCTATGGGAGGCTGCATGTGAAATTTCAGATAGTACTAAAGATACTTAGTACCATCTTCTTAGAGTTGGTTTCACATGAAATATATCCTTTTGTTGGCATTTCAAAGGAGGCAGCACCTTTATTTGTTTTAAAGAGAAGAAAGAAAATCTCAGGCCGGGCACAATGGCTCATGCCTGTAATCCCAGCACTTTGGGAGGGCAAGGCAGGCAGATCACAAGGTCAGGAGTTCGAGACTAGCCTGGCCAACATAGTGAAACCTTGTCTTTACTAAAAATACACAAAATTAGCCAGGCATGGCGGTGGGCACCTGTAATCCCAGCTACTCGGGAGGCTGAGGCAGGAGAATCGCTTGAACCCAGGAGGCAGGGGTTGCAGTGAGCTAAGATTGTGCCATTGCACTCTAGCCCAGTTAACACGGCAAGACTACATCTCAAAAAAAAAAAAAGAAAAGAAAAGAAAAGAAAAAATCTCTTTACAAAAGGGTTTGATATCAAAAAGTACTTTGGTGTCTTGGGAGAAAGCCTTTGGAAATAATTTTTTTAAATCTATAAGTTTCTCAACTCTGTATTTTTTTGTGGAAAAAAAAAGATGGGTAAGTAGATAGATCGGTGCATGGTACGTGGTAGTTACTATATAACAAACCTCAGTGAATGCAGTTGTGGAGAGGCTGACCGAACAGATTTTACAGGAATGCCCTGGTAGCTCCAGTGCAGGTGAAGTGGTTTCACACACTGCCTGTCCGTCCATTTTCACTGATACTGATAACGTGAGAAAAATAAGGAGAAGATGGTGTTTATGTAGTTGAATTTTTTTTTATTTATAAGAATTTTTTCCTGACTTTTTAAAGACAGGATCTCACTGTGTTGCCTAGGCTGGAAGGCAGTGGAAATCATAGCTCACTGCAGCCTCAAACTCCTGGGCTCAAGTGATCCTCCTGCCTCAGCCTTCCAAGTAGCTAGGATTCCACGTGTATGCCACCATGCTCAGCTAATTTTTTGTAGAGATGAGGTCTTGCTGTGTTTCCCAGGCTGGTCTCAAACTTCTAGTCCCTCTGCCTTGGCCTGCCAAAGTGTTGAGATTACT